GGGGGGGGGGGGGTTGTACATCAGGGAAACAAAAGAGTGACTGGACCAAATTCTGTTACCGTTTACTTGTGTAAACCCATTGACTTCAACAAGGAGGATACTTTGGCCCTTTTTGCCTATTAGTTTTCTTAGCGATGTAGAGCCAGGATTGAACAGATTTTAGCGGAGCAACATTTTATGTCATTCTTTTCTAGAGGAAGAAGTAAAAGCTTCTTGTCAGCACAGATAGCATGAGGTACATTGGTTAGAAATAGAAAAAAATATGTAATTTTGAGGAATGCATTTATAAATGTGACCTAAGTATCTGTAGTACCATACCCTGCACATGTCTGACAGCCAAGTTTCTTCTCCTTGGTCTATAAATCCATGCGTAATAAACCGGGTTATCTTGCTCGCGTTGAAATTTGAGTAGTCAATAGTTGTTGGATTGGTTGCAGTGATCTCCTGTTGTAGATAATACAATTGTAAATGTTTAAATCCAGAGTAACTCTGCAGATTAGAAAGCATTGCTTTTGCTACTTAAGGCCAGCTTTTACGATCAGTATGAGCCCTGCTAAATCTTCAAATGAAAGCTGGATAGAAACCAGCTACAAATTACATGTTTTCAAGCAGTAACCTTATAGCTGGTTGGCTCTTTTTATAGCTGGATGGACATTTTTATGGTGTGGTAATGACTTTACAAGTATGGCCGGTCTAAATTTATTGCACGATTAACTAGTTAATTGGAGGGGCTTATCATATGCATTTACTGATGTGTATGTGAAGATGAGCCTGTGACTTATGGTTTGCAGGGTTCACACTTGGGGGAAATTCTGTCTCCATTCCTGTCAATGTGAATTTTGCTATTGACTTTGGCTATTGCTATTGCCAGAGCCACGATTTCAGCCTCTGCTTAAGAAGTGCTTCCCTCTGCTTATCAAATGCCCTCTAATACTCCATATTTCCTTAACATTTATCAATGGACATAAAGGAGAAAGCGACTCATGGTCTTCTTTAGGGAAGCCATTTGGTTGGCACAGGGTTGGTGAGGTCTTCAAAAAATCACTTACAGAAGCCACGGGTGAGAATTTCTGCTCCGTGAGACTTACTGAACGTCATAGGAAACTAGACAGGAACTTTCTGAGAAGCTGGTGAAGGTTACTCCCTGAATATTTTAGAGACCTGGCCCTTTCTATCCTTAGCAGTCCTAGGAGTGCTAAGAGCTGATAAGTCTGTGTTTGTGTTTTGTATGTATACAATTCTTGTAATACTTAAACAGCAACAGGTCTTACCTGATAGTGATTAGGATTGATTTTAGTGTAGAGAAGGAAGCGGGCATTTATCCTTTCCGGACTCCAGGGTAACTTCGCAATTGGCCTTTCTACGGTTCCAGCCCATGGTATATCATCTGAGAAGCAGCCAAGCCTATCGAAGCAAACTTGCTCTCCTGTAGTGCACAGATCAGATCATTTGGGTGCGAATGAAGAAAGATGAGGTTGCAGTCGGTCCAAGACCACCCCTCTCCCAAAGCACTTGTTGTGCTTCCAACTTTGCAACCTGAAGACTGACGGTTATTCCCTTTCGTGATACCCCCTCCCTGACCGCTACCAATCCTAGTAGGAACAAAGAGAGGGCTGCACCCTCAACGCATTTGGGGTCAGGAAGGAATTTTAGCCCATGGTCAGACTGGAGCGGATTTTGGGGGTTTTTGCCTTCCTCTGTAGTGGGGGGGGGGTGGTCCCCTTCCTAGGATCTCTTGAGCTTATTTTAACAACCTTTGCAGCAGCAGGATGTTGGCTGCCATGGCCCCTCTACTTTACTTGTGGCTGCTTAGGGTGTTATGTCTTGTGGTTGTATCAGGGTTAACTATGTAGTTTCACTAGTAGGTTAGACCATGGATCTGTATAGGATGGTTTGCATAGGGACGATCCTACCTCCATCAGGGGTTAGACTTGATGACCCCTGGAGGTCCCTTCCAGCCCTACTTTTCTATGATTTTTTGGTTTCTATACAGACCCACAGAGCAGGGAAGACCTGTTATAGAGTGGGAATTATGCTGCATCTCTTGCAAGGGTGTGCTTCAAAGACTCTCTCCTTTGGCCCCTGCACTGCATTTTTCTCTGGACAGCCGGAGCATCCTGGCCCTAACTGACTACCACCTGCATCCAGGCCTGGCCCCAATAGACAAAAAAGACCTAAGGCTCAGGGAGGCCTTCCCCTAATGTACTGACCCGATTGAAAAGACAAAGCCAGTAAAGCTGTGTTGAGGAAGCAAATTCCCCCAAATTCCTGCCTCGGAGCTCCACATGAGGTAGCAAACCATACTGCCCGAGTTTCCTATACATGAAATGCAAGCAATATAACCATAGTCGTTTGGCATAGAACCGTCGCTGTATAGAATTAAAACCCTTGCAAAATGAGCCAGAAGAGAAAACCCTGCATTGAAATAAATCTTATGTCTTACCTTTCACTGCACCCAGCAGAAAAAGCACAGTGGTCCAAATTTTGAGCATCTGGAAGAATCAACAAGGAAACAATAAGACTCGCTTGCTTCGGAGAGCTTTGTGTTCATTTATTTTTCTTGTGATCATTCTGCAACTGTACTGAACAGTGACTCTGGGCATTTCTACACTGCAGTCCAAAGCCATGGCGATTATTCATAGATTTAAATTAACTCACTTGGATGCCGAGAGCAGCATAGCCCACAGCAGTATGGGGCTTTGTGTGAGCTGCAAAACCGACCCAGCGACCAGGGTCAATTCTTGAACAGTTGGTCTATACTCAGCTCCATGCTGCTATGGCTGTAATAGCACTGGGCAACCCGGCTAATTTAAATCTGGCTTGGGTAAGTCCACTGAAGCTTCACTCTCATCTTTGAACAGAAATGTAGACATACCCCCACCCCTGCCTCAGCAATAGTTATTACAGGACAAGCTATACAAAGAAAAACTCACGGTGCAATACTCTACCTTGAGTAGCTTTGCACTGCTAAACAAACTTTACCTGTTTTTATATAACACAGATTATCCTTGAAAACACCCCAGAAAGATAAGAAAATGTATTTACTTCAGATTGTAGTTTATTGTGGTGTGCCAGCTTCGCTAGATTTAAGGTCAAGAACCCTTTTCCTTAAAGGTCGACTTTTCTAAATGTTTGATGTCCCACATGAATGCTTGGCTTGCAAGGTGGGGTTAACGTGCCAACTTTGGGGTAATTTATGACAAAGGTTCCTAAGATTTAGTCCCTTCTCCAGGAAAAAAAAAAGACGCTTCATTAGGGCGATAGAGTCTACTGATATATTTTGTTCACACCTGCAGGATCAAAAACGACCTTTTGGGGAAGCTAAATCAAACATAGGAACTTAAGAGATGCCATGCTGGTTCAGACCTCAGTTCCATCTAGCCCAGTATCCTGTACCTCCCCATGGCACAGAGTGGGTGCTAAAGGGAAGATGATTTATGCAGAGCCTATCTAGATTCATCCACTGCCTGCCCCTCTTCTCCTATGGCTTCCAGTATTTTGAGGCCTAGGAAGTCCTAATTTGGACATTGCACCCGTAAATATCAAGTTTAATATCCCCCTTCTCCCTCCATGCACCTGTCCTCCATGAATTTGTTCAATCCCTCTTTGAAGCCAGTTAAATTTATCAGCCTCCACAACACCCCATGGCAATGAGTTCCACCAGATAACTAAACATTGCATGAAAAAGAACATAACATTCAATACCAGTTGAGCTGTCAATATAGGCACGAGCCTCATGTTCATAGCTCAAATATATTCCATGACGCATAAGAAGCCAATAAAATTTTTGAGTTAGTGCAAGTGACCCTGATCTCCCCCCTTCAACTAATGCTGTTGGAATTGGAGCCCTGGCAGAAATCTGGAAAAAAAAATACCAAATGACATTGGTCAAAGAAACTTCTTTAGTTTGGGGAAATGTAGTTGGAGTTGAGATTCAGGAAACATGCATTCAAGAGGAATATACGTGACTCGTGTGACTGCTTCCTAGATGGAGTGGAGGGTGAGGTGCTGCAGAAGTGCGGTGGGATAGCAGGAGAAGTGGTTCATGCTACGAGGGCTGTGGGGGGAGTGGGAATTAAGGAGAGTGCTGCTGGGAAGAGGAGAGGAGCTAGGACTCAGGCCATGAGAATTAGGGGGTGGAGTATGGGGTGTGACATAGGGCAGGTGGCACATTGAATGTGTTGGGGGAAATCAGGAAAGGATGGGGCTGATCTATACAAAGCAGGATGTGCAATGCTGATGTAAATTATGCTGGTGTTAGCCCATCACCTGTCTGTCTCCTGAGGGTGCCTGAGCCCCTCTTGCTGGGGCAGGTGCATACTTGCCCATCTGTGTTGCCCCTCTGCAGTCAAGCATGCTGGAAGCACGTCCACCTATAAAATACCCTCCAGCAACTGCTGTGGCTGCTCTAATCCAGGAGGTTTGTATCATGCAGAATGGTTGTAGCTCTTCCTGTAAAGAAATGTTTGAAAGGTGGAAATGGACAGCACCAGGCGGCTGTCAGACTACCGGAGTCTCCCCTAAACCCACCAACAGTGGCCCCCAGCTCATAGCTCCTAGGCAAAATGTGCTTCTGGCTTCTTTACGACTCATTCCAGCCAGGAAGAGCACATACCAACTGCAGATGCACTCACAGTCTGATGAAGGGTATTTATACCCAAAAGTTCGCTAAGAAGAATTTTTCCAACTATTTGAGTTGGTCTAATAAAAGATTTACCCAGAGACAAATGAGGGTGACAGGGAGAGCAAACCATGGTGTTGCCTGCAAGATGCTACTTGCTCAGTGCTGTCTGTGGGCCAGTGAAGGCTGGAAACCACTGCCCAATAGGAAGAGCCTGAGCGGGATGAAGAGATACACAGGTGCTGCACGGGCTGAATTGCACTTACAAGCTTTGTCAACCTTGTGATGCCCATAAACTGTATCTTAGAGCCACATGTCCTTTCATGTGCTGATACCCCCCAATCTCGACCTGTGGGAAGGAATGAAAGGTCACCAGCTGTGCACATGCCAAGCTGCCAACATCCACAGGAACAAAGTTTTAATGGGTTTGGTGCGGTTGTTCTGGTCTTTGCTAGGGGCACCGTTCTGCCAGCCTTACTCTATGTTTTGCCATGTCTGCAAGGGGACTTATTTGCATGGTGTGGACGAGGTTGCAGAATGGGAGGCTTGGTGTGTCCTCATGAAGAATGATACCAGAGAGGGGCAGCTCCTGTATTTTAGGTGCCAGTGGGGGCAGAGTTCAGTGGGTTCCCATTGTAACTGCTCCAAGGCTCTCATCGTTATTCTCATTAGCAAATCGAGTCACTGGTCAAATCTTCAGCCTGTGTTCAGGCTGGATCTACACTGCACAACCCACCCTCTGCCCAGGAGACCTTTTGAGAAGTGGGCAGGGCTGCAGCTTGGAGGCCTCTGGATGAGCACTGGTGGGAAGAGCTGACCGTGAATAGGATCGCTATAGTCCGTCAGTAAGAGCAGCACTTAGGCTGTTTTAAGTTACATCAGAGTTGTTTGGGCCTTTTTACTCTTGGAAGTGGGCTGTGGAAAGGAGGATTTGAGGAAGATAACAGGAGCAACCAGAATTTGAATTCAAGGGGGAATGAACCTCTTAGAGATGTTGTTAAAAAGTGTGAAAGGGGAATGAATGCAAGAGGGGAGCAATTCCATGCACCCACTAATAGGAACAAGCCCCTTTGGATGCGGGTGCAGGTGCAGACGAGCCTGTTTATGATTTCCTCCTATACCCATGAATACAGCCTTCTTAAGCAGAGCCTAGGATTGCGTGTGATTTCACTGGTGATTTTGCATAGCCCTTTTTAAGAGGCTTTCTTATATGGTTTATTAAGAATTGTGTTCCTGTTAATTCCAAAAGATTTTGAATGTGTTGTTTCTATTGCTATCAAAATAGCAGTGAAACATAAATAACCACATCCTTGCAAGTGTAGGTACAAGAAGGGAACAGGGAAAAGATCAACATGTTTTGGCTTTCCACTGTGTAATTTAGCTTATCTTTTTCCTTGACAAAGAATGCCCATGCCTTGAACTCTAGCAGCGTCAGCCTGATTGCTAAGATCAAACTTTGCAGAACATAAACAGGTTTTCCAGGTTTGTTTTTTAAATGCTAAATGCATTTTTTTCAGAGATGCCTGTCATTCTGGAAGGTTTTCTTTCATCACACACAAGGTACTGGCTCCACATAGAAATTTGAGGTCTGGTGTTATAGAAGAGCACAGACCAGCTGATCTAACGGACCCCAAAGTCCTTGACTCTGCGATGCAGGGCCATGATTCTGAAGACACTTACCTATGTGTCTCTTTTTACATGCATGAGTTCAGGCACGTTAACGATGAGGTTGATACGCATGTGTGGCTTGCTGGATGGTTAAAATTACCAAATAGAGAGTAGTCCTATTGATTTCAGATGGAGTTCTGACGTGCATAAAGTTAAATGTGCATATAAGTATTTGCAGGTCTGGGGCCTAAGAAAGTGCTAAGAGGAAATTCACTGGGAGATCCAGAGAATGGAATGAACTTTGAACACTGCTCATTTTACATGCACTGTTCAGGGTGTAGAGCAGTATTATCAAGCCTAAGCATGAAAAAAATCATGTCATGCCCCCCAAATCATCTTAAATACTGAGATGTAAAAAACCCTGAGAGTTAAAATTAAAACTAAAATATAAAATTAATATTTTTATATGCCTTATTGTGCTGGCACATTTAGTGCTCAGACTTCCAGGTTTTTGTCTGTGAAGATGAGTGCTGGAAGCTCGCTTAAAAAAAATCAATCACCTGATCCCAGCTTGCGGGCTCTGCAAAAATCAGCAAATATCATGGGACATATGGTAAAAGCACAACAGTTTGCAACAGGTCCAACTACAGAGAATAACATTTGAGAGCTTCCTAGGAAATTAAGTAGGGCATAACCTTCCTCCCACATTAATGGGTATGTGGGTGGGGGGTAATTTCTTTCAGTTATAACCTATATTTTTCTAGGAACACCTGTAACTCATTGCAGCTGATTCTCAAGGGGTAGGTGTTATGCTGGGTATATGTGTGACTCGATATGGCTTTGGTGTATGTCTACACCACAGTCACTGTATAGATAGACTCAAACTAGCTTTAGATTAGCTAGTCTGCGTTCTGCAAATAGTTCAGCCAAGGCAGCATGTGGCTCAGTGCAACCCTGAAGAACAGAGTAAATACTAAGCTGGACTGAACTCGGTGCTTCCGGAGTAACTTTGCGTTATACCCCAGTTAGCTTAGTTATGTCTAAACTACAGCTGTGGTGTAGAAGCCCTCAGAGAGTCTGTTAACCAAATACAACAGAAAAAAGGGGCCAAAACAAGGACACCTGCACTTTGCAATGTGCCCCTTGCTGCTCGCACCCTGAGGCGTGAATGTTTTCAAGAGCCTGGATACAGGTGTGAGAGTCAGCAGGTGCAAGCTACACGACACCTCAGCCCCAGAAAGGGTCAGGCTCGAGTTAAGCACA